GCGGGACTCAACTTTGGTGCGCCAGCTACTTCGACCACTTCAACTGCTGTCACAACCACATCCGCAGGGGGTTTGAGTTTTGGAGGTTTTGGATTAGCTAAGCCAGGGACTACCACCACTCCAGCCACCACCAGTACTACTGCCACCGCAGTCACAACGAGTGGCTTTTCACTCAGCAGTCTAATAAAGCCCTCTGAAAGCACTGCTCCTACTACTTCTGCTGTCACTTCCGCTGCTGCAGTTACAACGGCTTCTACTACTACTTCTGCCGTTACTGCTACCACCACAACCACAACAGGTTCTAGTGGTGCCGCTTTACCGTCCGCCGCCACCTCACTTACCTATCGTCAGCTGGAAGATATGGTGAATAAGTGGACTTATGAATTGGATGAGCAGAGTCGTAACTTTTCTGCAGAACTAAATCGACTGAACAAGGCGGACGGGGTGCTGATTGCCAACGCGGAAAAGATATCTGACTTGCATGCGAAGGTGGAGGCTTGTAAGGCAGGACAAAGTCGTATCGAGCAGGTTAGTTTCAATTCTGCTAAGCGGTTTGGTCGATTAAAGCATCAGCATACTCACGATTACACAATTTGGTGCTCTTTAGCGCTGTCCCGTATTTGTGGTGTGGTGCATCGAATCCGATAATGAAGGAATTCTGTTGACAGTCCAGATATTTTTTATGACCTCCTCAGTTTTAATATGAAAGGTTACAATATCGCTTTTTTGGTTCTTGAGTCCGGTGGTTTCGTTAAAGTCCAAAAGAGGTGGGAGGGACATTAGTTGGCATCTAAGCCAATTTACATGAAACTCATGCTGTCCCTTTGGGTATAAACGGCTATTAAATTGTCATTTAAATGTACTGTTAGCTGAAAGTTTGGAACATTTTTTGGCAGAATGAAGAGTCGACTAAAATGGAGGAGGATAGGCTCCTTGGCGGAATTAACTCATATTGATGCTTATTCGCTCGATCCGAAAATTCAGAAGAGTTGACATTGTCTTCATTTGACCTGTCTGCTGTATTTCTCCGGGACTTCTACTGATTATGCTGTGAGGCTGGGCACAGGTTCTCTTTTATTGCAGCCTAGGCAAGGAGCGACCTTGGTGGTCGATTATTCTTGCTTGGTATTTCGACCGTATTCACTCGTTTGTTCAAAAGTTGTCTCATCGTTTCATCACCTCAAGTTGTTAATTAACTGAAAAGTTGCTACACTCCTTATGCTTAGATCAAAGTGGATGAGATTAGCCATCAAAGCTTTCACTTTATTGTCCTGGAGCTGGTTTAATTCTTCATGTACGTGTAAATGGCTGGAGTGCATTTATTACTTACTGAACTAGCTCTTTCTCACTGCTTGCTTCACATTTGTTCCGTTGAGCAGGCCAACTTTTTTATTTGCGGCTTGATAATGGCTTCCAGAATTATTTTAGGGTCCGATGTAGGGCTACACAAC